CCGCCTTTTAGGGCGAACGTGATCGTCTTCGCTCGATACCATGCAAGTCAAAGTCACACTTTTCAGAGGATGATCCACCTCCTTCTCCACGAGTAGTCTGTGGGTTCATTACACATTTGTTTATAGGATAGGATGACAAAAGAGCACACAGCCCACTGTTAAGTGGTTGCTGTGACCCATAGACATCCACATCTATCCTCAATAAAGAATCAAAATGGAGATGCGTTGTCACCCTTGAGGACTAAGATGGAATGCCTCTTTTCCAGTAAAAAGGGTCTCCGGTTCTCTACACTTACCATACAAAACACAGCAGTGTTAAGCTGCTATTTTACGCTGGTATTCTGTGAGAGCGTGATCCTTCCCCGGTCGAGCCGACCCATTCGTGCTACAACTATACTACTAATATAACTGTAGCATGGCTCTACCACGTATGTTTTGTCATGTTCATTACGTGAGTGTACACTATAATAATACTTTCAGAATACTGATGGGGCTGCCTCAATTTTGTAACATATTAGAAATGTTTTCCGGGGGACGTGTAGACTCTTTTTACACTATTATGCGAAAGCGGGACACATCCTTGTTGCACAAAGTTCGAGCCAGATCTAGAAGCGTCCTAAAAATTGTTATGCGACACCAAAAAAGATCTCTCCTTGATAATCTGCACTAGTTTCCGAACGGGGTCGCGATTAATTTCACGAACAAGCAAACAAAAAAGGACATAACAACAAGATAAATGAGAATCTAAAAATATTATAATTAATAAGAAATGAAATATATATTATCATAAACCAAGCCACCGGATCAAAATCGGTGGACCAGCGTTCGGGAAGTTAGGACACATCACGTCACCTCTGGTATACCTCAAAACTTGTAAAGGAGAGTGTACAACCAGAGTGCGTTGCTAGTAATGACATATGGATTTGGGACATGGTCCATCACCGCTGGCCGTATGAAGAGGCTCAAGGTCGCTCAGCGAGCTTTAGAGAAGGCTGTGCTTAGAATTTCTCTGCGTAATAGACTTCATATTGAGTATATTTCATATAAAACATTCATAAACAACGAACCAGTAAGCTGAATTGGCACGGGTCAGCCATGTAGCTCGAAGAACCTATGGAGAAAAAAGGTTCTTGAGAGGCAGTCACGTACCGGTAAGCGAAGAGTAAGGCGATCCCCAACTAGAAGGAGTGATAACCCGATAAGCGATGTAGGAAGTCGATGGATGCAGTTGGCTCAGGTTTGTGCTTTATGGCAGTCCTTGAGGGAGACCAATGTTAAGCAGAGGCCTTGTGATTGCCTCATAGGGGGAATTTATACAAGCGTCGTCGAAAACATAGGGATGCCCACGTCGGCATTAATAACTATCGCGTTAATTTCTCTGCTTGCTAGATAAGCCTTGCGTTTGTATGCGTGCCCAGCGAAATGCTTGTTTGTAGCTTCCGTACTCTCGTTCACTGTGTTAATACGTAGTATTTGCTCACTACGTAGTTACGTTATCTTGTTTGATAGTGCATAATAACACTGGTTGTCTCTTTCGACACAAGGAGGAGAGAGATAACGTTGATGATTTGCGCCACTTGGTAAAATTTATTCATTCATACATTGCAGCACAACGAAATTCCTTTGGTGAAGGCATGTGATTTTTTTTTATAGAATAAGTGTGACAAACGAACATACATACATTTAATGGTAAATGAATACTGTAGCTCATCGTCATCTAAGTCTTTCCTCGATTAAGAATAAAAATGCATTTAAGTTGTCTACCAAGATGAAATGCCTCTTTTCCAAACAAAAGGGTCTCCCGTTCTTTAACCTCACTATATGAAACATAGCGGCATTAAACTGCCATTTTACGCTGGTGTTCTATGAGCGCGCACTTCTACCCCGGTCGTTGCTGCAACAACCAATTCATTTATAACCATAATATAGTTGAAGAATGACTATACCACGTAAAAAAAACAATCGGTCATAAATTATTTACTCTTGAAAAATCTACTCTCATAGATTGCCTGACTAGACCTCCCTAGATGGTAAGTGAGTCTCGCAGTAAAAAAGTCTACGGGAGCACTATCACCCGTGAAGAGTAAGATGAAATACATCTCAGCCTGCATGTATTTTATACGTGGTAGAGCCATGCTGCAGCTATATTAATAGTTTAGTTGTAGCACGAATGGGTCGGCTCGACCGGGGAAGGACCACGCTCTCACAGAAAACCAGCGTAAAATAGCAGCTTAATGCTGCTGTGTTTCGTATGGTGAGTGTAGAGAACTGGAGACCCTTTTTCTGAAAAAGAGGCATTCTATCTTATTCCTTGTGGGTGACAACGAATCTGCATTTTATTTCGCAAACGGAGATAGATTTAAATGTCTATGGGCCACAGCAACCACTTAAAATCAGGTTGACTGTGTGCTCATTTGTTACCCATATTCTATAAAAAAAAGCCTGTCACTATTCTGTCACTATTCTTTAACAAATTCAAACGATGCAAAAAATAATTCGATATTAAACAATGATGTTACAAGAAATAAGCGCCTAAGATAAAAAAGTAGCAATATAATAGTTCAACTTTAATGTACCTACTTTTGTGCAGGCCTAATAACGATCTAATAAATATTTTTAACAGGATAATGCACACATTATACAGAAGCGGCATAAAGCGAAGCAACAGCACAAGTGGGCTTGGTGTCGCTTCAAAACTTTTTAATAAATAAATAAATGTATGAATGCAGCGTATCGTGAATTGTATTCAAGCGACGCAGCATAGGCTGTCCGAATAGATCGCCATTTTTGTTTTATACTAATGACCCAGTGCTTCACTACAATCCCACCTCGTGGTAAGTGCTTATGCAACTCTAGATGATAAATCGCACCGCTTTTTCGTAACAAAAGCCTATTTGCTCTGGCCTTTGTGACACCCAGATTGTAATCGGACAGTAATGTTATAAAATTATTCAAGAATCAAAAAAAAAGTTGAAGCATAGTCTGCACCATAATTTGCCCCTCTTGGTACCGTATGATTCGCGGAATTGGAAAGATCGACTTTCAACTTTTCTGATAGGGATTGGAGCAACGGTGTGCTCCTTGAATGCGTGTTGGCGGACATCAAATGTCCTTGAAATATATTTTTTCCTAAAACTACATCATAAATATATTACCGATGTTCTTTCACCACAAATGTCATAAAATTTACTTAGAATTTCAATTCACAATTTCATTGTTGCCAGTAGAGATCAAAGTCAGTTTTACCACATACTATAAAATAAAAGATATATGTCGGAGCGTCTATAAAATACCCGGTTGGATCGAGGTAGAAGGGAGGGTATATCGAGAAACTCTCTCTTGTGTCTGTAGTATAAAGTTCACTGTAGGTGCCGTGCGTGAGAGATTCCACCTAAGTCATTCAACGAGTGTGGTCGTTCTACTAGTGCTAAGATAGTGTCGTGGTTCTGTTCGTTGTTGTAATTCTTCTAGTGCAGGCAAGGAGAATTGGTGTTGCTGAGAGGCTATCCTGTGTTACATTGAGATAAGTACTGTTGCTGTCGGTTTACATATTTTGGTGTTATCATGTAATTACGTACCTCACGTTACACTGGTGTGTGATTGTGGCGGGGACGTGTTACGGTGTGGTCGAACTGTAATTTCACTATACTGAATGTATAGTGCGTTACGTTGTCTTATTACTGATAATGATTAAACTGCGTAAGCAAGAGAGCAAGTTGAACATCCGCTCTCACACTTTTATTATTTTTAACAATTAACGCTATCCTGATGTATTTCCAAGATCGAAATCGAGATCCTCTGTTCTAATTTCCGACATCAGAAGTGGGATCTTCTGTTGTCATTTCCGATATATATAATAATAAATAATACTACAAAATTTTAAGCTACTGCGGCTTATTTTTGCTGTTTATAAACCTTGAACAACCAACCTTTCTAGTGTCCATTAATAAAAAAAACCCTTGGGAATGAGGAGATAGGTATCAAGCTATTTCTAATTTGATTTATATACTTAACTAGCGATTTCTCCCGGCTTCGCCTTCGATTTCTGGATCTCAACAACAGTGCCACCTACCGGGTTTAATTGTAAATCTAAACCATTCTCTAATCAACTTCATCACACACACAAAATTTTATCAAAATCGGTCTATTTCGGAGGAGTGCAGACACACACGGACAAAATAATTATATAATAAACAATATGCATATTTAATGGATATAAATCATTCTGTCTATTGATGAAAACCGCATCAAAATCTGTTGCGCAGTTTAAAAGATCTAAGAGTACAGACGGCGAGAAGCGACTATGTTTTATATTATGTAGAGTAGAGTTACAAAATACAGCAGCACTAAGCCCTTATTTTACGTCGGTATTCTGTGAGAACGTGGTCCTTCCTCGGTTGAGAAGACTCATTCGTACTACAGACAATATAGCGGCAGCATAGCTCTACCATGTAATAAAAGAGTTAGACAGGAATGGAAGTCATTGTTTTTAACACCTCCTAAAGACAAATTTTTCCAATACATAAATGTGACGCGCTACGTTATGTATCCTAGTATCGTGCACTTTCAGTTAAATATCAGACAAAACAATAGACTGATGGTGGTGGGACCGTAAACTCGGAAAATGACCTGTCTGTTTTTTTAAACGTTACCCCCACAATAGAATTTTCTCCTGAATCGTGGAGGCAGTTCACAAACATAAATTGCACAAGGACAAATATCCAGACCTGGAACAATTATTTGTAGGCCATACAAATACTTGTTCCGTGCGGGATTCGAACCCGCGTCCCCGAGCGCAGCAACTCATTGCTAAGCCACTGCGTCACGGAGCCGTCTGTGATTCTGTGCCGAGAATATTTAGCTTACTTTGTCACTTGGGAATATTAGTGAAATAAATAGCGTTACTAGTATTCTTTTAAAATCAAATTAAAAAAGAAAAATTGGAACCTGAAAAAATTTCATTTAAACAAATATTTGTTCTTAAAACATTTATTTTGATTTCAAACATTTACTCCATTTTCCATACAACATTGAGGATCGGTTACATGGTTCACAAATGTAAGCTGAGTGTTATTTTCTAGCTTCAGAATCTCACTACGGATCATTGACAGAAGGTATAAATTGAATACTGCAAGAAAATATAATTGTTAATTTTCATACACATTATACTAGAACTAAAAAGTTAATGACTAATGTTTATTGAAGACTTGGGCCAGCTGGTCTTTTGGGATAACTCTAACAATGAGGTCCACAAATTTTCTGCCCGCAGGGCGGCGCCTCTTTGGAATGTCAAATATTTGACAGATTACTTGGAGGTGAAGTTAAAGTATCAGTAAATTATATAAGTTAATGTTTATTTCTGAAATATTAGTTATAATTTTATTTAAATTAGACCAATATGGATAAATCAAACTATGGATATTCCTAAATGTAAAATAATTAACAATATGGTTGTTTTGTGTATATAGGGTACTACACTAGAAAATCTTTTGTTTCAAACGAAACTTTTCACTTAATATGACACTATGTAAAAAATAACTTCACCTTAGTTCCAACTAGCGTAATCTGGTGAGCGGATAATTATTAGTCATAATTATTACAACATAGAAGCGAAAAGTTTCGTTTCAAATTTTGTCATATAGTATGCAATGGTTTTTCATATTATATCATGAATAATATCTTTTATGTTATTGGTCTAAAAAGATTGTATTTTTTTTAAAGTTCTCAAGCAATTAAAAATACACAAAAGGAATTTGAAATCACACGAACAGCGTATTTGATATTTTTAATTTTTCATATCATTATCATTCAATTTAGTCATATTAATTTGGGTAGTATATAAATAATAATAATGTCCTCCAAACCAAATTTTGGTCATAGCAGTCGACGGAGACCACTCATTTGAGCAGGAAAAGACTATAGTGCCCGATAGTATGTGCAAGTACAGATGCACTCTCTATTTCCTCACCCTCATAGAACGATGAGGCGGTCCGACTCGACCGGAGAGGGTTATTTTCACGAATTTATAACAACATTCCCACTCTTGCAGCTGTAAGCAACTTTAGTAATAGAACAATATTATCTTTTGTCTTAATATTTATATTAATTAAACATGGATTAACTTAGCATTGCTAATGATATAGACGAATCACTGGCCATAAAGTAAAGTAGTATAGACTCTAATAGAAAAATGCAAGAGTGTTCTTACTAATGATAATTATAGTCCTAAATTTTCGACATTCAATATACGAAGTTGTCAACGTAACTTTGACGATTTTAAACTAGCTCTCAAATGCTTGGACATGGATATTCCCCGTTTAGTAGCGTAGTAAGAATACTAATAAGAAGGCGACAGAGGTAAACTGAGACAGAAGATGGGCAACAGCATCTTTCTGATAACAGCAAGAAGCAATAAAAAAGCCGGTTGCGGTTGTGTTCCAACCCGCTCGCCAGGCGTGGAAACATGAGCAATGACACTAATAAACGGCCCCCAGTCTCCAGCAGCCCCATTATTCCTGGCTACGACCAAGACCATTAATTAAAGTAATCTTGAATGAGCCATTCACATACCCCACCGATTCTCTATGTAAAGAATTTAAAGTATTACAGGCGCGACAGCTGTTTATTTACAATTCCACACTCAAAGTGCACTAAACTGTAATATCACGCCCGGATTACAATGATTTAAGAAGCAAACGAACTTTTTGAAGTAATCGTAAAGTCTGAGCTACCTAAACGTTGTCCTATCTTCACTCATCCCTTCATTTACAACAGAATATTAAAAATAATTGACCTTAGAGACCGCTCACTTTCCTCATGTATAACCCTACGAAAGAACATGCTCTATACTCTATACGTTAGAGTCTAACATATAATGACACTGAAGAGCTAATTAAGTAGCACATATGACGTGCACACACACACAAATACCCGCGCGCGCACGCACACACGCAAGCACACGCACGCTGCTGTCAATCATGTTATGTTAAAACTATCTTATAAGCATATTTTTAAGTAAATGTTGTCCAGTGACAAACCATTTTGTAATATCGCATGCCAGGGTCCTGCTGTGCTTAGTTTAGTTGTTTAGTTGTTAAAATAAATAAATAAAATTTATTCAGGTGAATGAGTGTGAATTCAACTATTTTTTCACTGTAGTTCAACTCTGAGGATTTATATTCAGTTAAACTACAGTTATTCTCATTGGTTCACCAATTCCTACTTTTAAAGTTGGTTGTCAGTGTCCATCCCGCCATAGTCAGTTGCCAAAAGGCGGACTATTAGCTTGTATGCCATGCTAATGCAAACTACTACACTTTCCATTCTAATAGCGTAAGTGTTCTAAATACTTACTAACAAAAGCTGCACAGACTGTTGCAATGTCTAGAACATCTTGTAAGGCTATCATATAGAAATAATTAAAGATGTCAATTCCAGTTAGTACAAGGCACAGAAGGAATATTATCACTAAACTGACAAGCCCATATTTATAGTATAATCTCAAAAGTTTAGGGTTTTTCTGAAAAAAAAAACCTTATTAAAGTTGAATAGCACAGATAAAAAATATTAAATGTATTTTTTTTTTTTGTAAAAATCTTATATTAGAAATTTCTACTGGTAAATAGGTGGCACACAGCCAGTTGAGTCGACCCATTCACACTCTACCACCGGTTAGTAGTTTAATGCTGAAATATTCAAACGCTGCGCTGCTCTATTTTAAGATGCTGTTATGTCTAGTGCTGTCTCTATCACTTAGTCAAGATTGTGACACCGCGAGACTTAACGACATCTTATAATTGAGTAGCGATTGAGTATTTGGCCAACAGAGTATCTATTTATTATATTCTCATAATTTAAGGTATTTTTCCAAAACTGCTTCATAGTTCGTTATGAGTACACTAAAAGACTGGAATAAGTTGCCAGCATCTGTCTTTTTATCCTGTCATACATGTAAGTGTCTTCATGGAAAGAGTGAATAAGCTTTAAAAATTAAATTAGTAAATTAGCTTAGTTTTCATTTTTCCTCAAAATCGATGACAGGAAGCCTCTGAGCAAACTTCCTCTATTTTTCATAATCGTAGTTTAGATTTTTTTTATATGATAAGGGTGACAAACGAGCACACAGTCCATCTGATGGTAAGTGGTTGCTGCGGTCCATAGACATCTACATCTATCTTCGAATACGAATCAAAATGCAGATGCGTTGTCACCCGTGAGGACTAAGATGGAATGCCTCGTTTCCAGTAAAAAGGGTATCCGGTTCTCTACACTCACCACACGAAACACAGCAGCGTTAAGCTGCTATTTTACGCTGGTATTCTGTGAGAGCGTGGTCCTTCCCCGGTCGAGGCGACCCATTCGTGCTACAACCATAATATAGCTCATATTATGGTTGTAGCACGGATAACGGACCTGTATTCTATTTCTTGATTGAGGATAAATGTAGATGTCTATGGGCCACAGCATCCACTTACCATCAGGTGGACTGTGTGCTCGTTTGTCACCCTATGCTATAAAAAAACACCATACTTACTCCTGGGCAGAAAAGGAGTTCTTCCATCTAGTGAAGTCAAATTTAAGAAAAAAAAAGCATTTAAGTTCATGGTTACCTTATGAGCACCGACTATAAAAACGAATGTGATTACAAAGTCAATTATAAAGATCGTATCAAACAATGACATAATGACGATCTCAGTTTTAATGTTTTTCATTCGATGGCGAGGCACCTGGTACAATTTTACACTAATTACTACTCCAAGGAACAGGCACCAAAACTGAAATAAAAAAAAAACACAATCTCATATAAAGAGAAAAAAGGGCCTTAACCTAAATTTTAAAGTGTAATAAATAAAATTTAAAATAAAAATACGTTAACTTTGAACTTTAATGCCGTTACATTTTTACTAAAATTTCATGTCGATATTGTAATAACCATTGTGTAATTACTAAGGAAAAACCAAAACTAATAAAAATAACTCGACTGCACAAAGTTAGTAAGTATTTTTTTTTATGTATGTCACCAATTTCTTGAAAACGACTGAACCGATTAACGGGAAGGCCAGGAAAAATAGTTGAATTCGCTCATATATTTTTTTTCAGACTGACTACTTATCCATACATCACAAAAGATGTTTGAAATACAATACATTTCCACGTGAATAAATTGTATACATAAAATTAGCCACGATACGTGTGTGTGAAAAGGATTAATTCAACATCTGAGAATGTGATAGCTCGAAAAAACGAGGCGACAGATGACAGCACTGAAGAAGAAGATGAACGTTGCAATCGATCATTGGCGGTAATAACGGTTTCTTGAGGTTATATTTAACCAAATGGAATATCCTATAAGAAATGGGCTTGAAAACGGCTGAATCGATTTTAATGTTTAGCTGGTCCTCATTCGGAAGCCGGGGCGCCCTGCGGACTCTCCGTCCGCATACCGGCCCTTGGTGCTGCTCGACGAGGTGGGCAAGCTCTTTGAAAGAGTCATTGCAAACCGCCTCACCGAGCATCTTGCGGGGACGGGGCCGGATCTTGCGGAACACCAGTTTGGTGTTCGGCAAGGCGCTCTACGGTGGACGCCATCATGCGCGTGAGAGCCCTCACGACGGGGGATGCAGTGGCCGGGGGGAGGGGGGGGGGTTGTTTTGGCGGTGTCTCTCGACATCGCCAACGCCTTCAACTCCATGCCCTGGAGCTGCATTAGGGAGGCACTCCGGTATCACTGGGTGCCGACCTATCTCCGTCGTATAGTCGGGGACTATCTGACGGATAGGGCCGTCATCTACCCCGGTCGCAACGGTGAGTGGAACCGGCGAGAGATGTTGTGCGGTGTCCCACAAGGTTCGGTTCTGGGGCCGCCCCTGTGGAACATCGGTTACGACTGGGTGCTGCGCGCCGACCTCCCTACCGGCGTCAGCGTAGTTTGCTACGTTTGTTCGGGAGGTTCCTGCACCGAATCGGGCGGGAGGAAACGCCCGGGTGCTCCCACTGCAAGGATCGACCGGAGGACACGGTGGAGCACACCGTGGAGGTGTGCCCTGCCTGGGCGGAGCACCGCCGTGTCCTCGTAGCGGCGATAGGCGGCGGCGACCTCTCGCGTCCGGCCCTGGTCGAAGCCATGGTCCGGAGCGAGACGGAATGGGATGCCGTCACCACCTTCTGCAAAGCAGTGATGCTAGCGAAGGAGGTGGCGGAGCGGGAGAAGGAGAGAGCAGCAGCTTTCCTTCCCGGCCGCCGCGGGAGACGCCCCGGGCGTCGGGGGCTACGTCGTGGTCCCCGGCCACCGTAGGCGCGGGCCTGTGGACGGCGAGCAATGGGTAGCTCGCCGTCCGTCCGTCTAACGACGACAGGCCGTGTCGACGGCGCGTTTTGTTCCACGCGCGTCTCAAAGAGCTGTCAGCAGCGTGAAGGGGCCCGCAAGGGCCGACGCCTGCCGGGGCTGCGGGCTGTTCGAAAGAGATACCGCGGCTCCGGAACGTAAGGGCACTGAAGGAACACGGATGGTTTTTAGTCAGTAAAAGTCTGACACTCGCTTCCGCTCCACCCAGAGCGAAAGGCGTCATTTGATGATTTTACATCCGCAAAAAAAAAAAAAGGGGTGGCCTCATATAAATTTCAAAAATTTATCCCTAAGGCTGTGTAAATTGAGGATGAGCGCACGCACGCGCGCACGCACGCACGCACACACGCACGCACGCACACACGCACACACACTCAACACACAAACAAGCACACACACACACACATACACACACACACACACACACACACACACACACACACACACACACACAAAAGAAAACATAACCCTTTTATATATTCCTCCATAAGCGGATAAAAAATTAATTTTTTTGTAATTTTTTTATTTAAGTTATAATTATAATTAATTGTACAAAGCATCAAATGCAGCCTTACTAAGACCTAGTTAAGTTTTTAGTGTCTGTGATAATTGGGAAATTACTACACCCTTTTATATGCCTTAAGATATTACACAATAAACTATTTCCTGGACTCAGGTCAACGTCCGTATAAAAGTATTTTGTACATCCCCGTCCTACACTCCAAAACTTCAAAGAAAAGTAAAAAAAAAGATACAGAAAATGTAAATGGCTTCACACTCATAAAAAATAAAAAGAAGAAGGTACAAAAAAAAAACAAGGAAATAAAATAAAAGGTATATGCCCATGTCAGAAAAAGGAGAAATTCTTCTTCGTCTTACTTATAATCGTTAGTTAACGCTTACTTGAAATCTCTATACCTGTCTCTTTCTATTGCCATTTAGTGAAAAGAGAGAAAGCAGTGTAAGCATTTATGAAATTGACGTCGATTTTCACGAGAAAAGCCATTAATGATGCGCACATTTTCTTACTGTTTGCCAACACTATTGTATTTTAAAAGTAAACACTCAAACTCACCATTTTAATATACGCCCAGACAAGCAATCCGTACCTGAGAGGTACACAAAAGCAGCATCTTTTAATTTGTGGTAATTCTATATACATTTCTACAAAATTCAAAATTAATTTTACAAGCGATGAACTCAATGAGAACAATTTAACTAATCCTCTTCAAACGAATACTGCTACACTACTGTCATGATAACCCATTCAGTTATACGAGTATATTAATGTTATGTTTCGCATCTAAACAAACTGCTTGGAACGGTCATAGGTTGGAATGGAATATAGATAAGTTCATACTACGCCGAACGATTACGATGGAAAATACTATGTTTTTTTCATTTTGTAGGTTGTAAACAATTACCGCTAATGATGGAAAACCCAACCTAATAACGTAGTGTTTGACACAACCTAACAGACTTGAATGGTATGCAGTGTTATCTCACCACTCCGCTTTCGCCGCGTTTAAGCCGAACGTCCACCGCAAACTAAACTAATTTAGTTTTTTTTCTTTGCGCTGGACGTTGGGCTTTAGAATATGAGACTGTCAATTATTATTTGCTTTGTACGGGTTACCGCACAATAGTTAATAAAACAACCATTACTCATTAATTAATTAATTTATTTATTCTTTATTATATTCCCTAATATAAGAGAATACAAAGGGCGGACTTTTATGTCTTGAGGCATTCTCTACCAGTCAACCCATGGAGTGGTGAGAATTTGACGTAGGTGTAGCAATATAGATTAAAAACGAAATAAAAATGATAATTAACTACGTAATATATACATTTTACTAATATATACATACATACATAAACATACATTTATACATATCAACATACATATATAAATAAATATGAATATATACGTCTAACAATATAAATGAGATGGATGATTACGCTCCAACTTATTGGGAGCTTTTCCGATATCATCGGGCAAGGAGTTGCAGCCTGAACTGTAAAGGAGTTACCGTAGAACTCGGCGATGTGAACAGTAATGCATATTTTGTTTTAGAAGGGGAACGTAGAACCCTATCATGAGATGAGGAGAGATAGTGAAATTTACTCTTAAGATAAGAAGGCGAAAATGGGTCATTTAATATGAAGAAAAGAACAAGTAATATACTGGAATAACGCCTCTGCCGGATTATAAGCTAATTAAGCTGAAGATCTACATATATTGCGAAAATTGGTCATACTTATGAAGCCCGAAAATAAATATTATACCATTTTCTTCCAGCTTTTTCAGAAGATCCTGGGACAGATCTGGATAACACAGATCTGCATAATCAATTATGGGTAATATCAGTGTAAAGAACAAATACTTCAAGTTTCAACGCGACAAAATACTAAACAACACAGTTTTAATAACGTCGCTACAGATGATGAGATTCTATTGACTACCTTATCTGTCATGGTCAAAGCTTCTGATGGATATGCCTTCTAGATCTCATGTCACTATCACCTTGATATGCCTTCTAGATCAAGAATCTCTTATTTTACTGATATCTGAGAACGCCGCTCACATGCTAGGTTTGCCTCGGCAACGGCATTATGCATCTATATCTGGCATTGGAAACTAATCGATAAACAGCAAAGGAGAAGGTGAGTTCACAACTCAAGCATTAGTCATCAAACACGTTATCAAAAAAAATGTCGTTCAGGAATTGTGGCCTCACCTGCAACATATTACAACTGGCTAATCTCGAGTACAACGTTTCTAAGCATGGTTCATCTGCTACTAGATGCAAGCATATATTCTGAGATCATCATGAACGGTCTGATCAAAGGCCCAAACATGGCACCAATAGCCAAATAAATCAGACTGGGCTAGATACTCTCAGGTAACGTGAAAACTTTCAAATGTCATGTTGTAATTACCGACTTATCAGATATTCTCAATACTGGAAGCTGGAAGAGATCAGTGACTCAGCTGCTGAATTGACACCAGATGAACAGTATGGTGAGCAATTCTATCAGTTTATAATAAGTCGACTACCTAACAGAAGATACAAGGTTGCTATCTCGATGAAGCCTGGATTCGAACATGATCTAGGTGAATCTAATCAAGGTCGATTACATAATTCTACAACTTAGAAAAAAAATGTCAAAAATTTAAGTCTTTGTTGACAGTTGTACAAACTTCGGCATCAACACAAAAATGTCATAACTGCGGACATCGAGCTGTTTTGCCAAATGAAAATTTGAGAACCTGATCAACACCTACAACGCATTATATGGAGGAGCACACCAGAAGACCCCTTGAAGGAGTACCAACGAACAACAGTCATCTACGGTACAATGGCGGCCCCCTATCTGGCAATGCGAACTTTAAAGCAACTGGCTATGGATGTTGTGTGTTGACAAGTTTCCCCTAGCTACTGCTGCACTAATGATGTCACTATACATGGATGGATGACCTTCTTGAAGGCTGTGATGATATCTCTCAATCAAAACAGTTACAAAGAGAGACCATCGACATATTGAAGGGCGCCGGAATAAATATTCACAAATGGTCCATCAATGGAACTGATTAAAGATCTGTCAGCTGATCAAATGGATACAACGCTTGAGTTCAAAGGCTTAGAAAACCGAAACACTTTGAGTTTACGCTGGATTTCCTCATCTGACTTATTTGTATACAAGAACATATTCGAAGATGAGACCAGTCGTCATAACGTCATAATAAAACGACAGCTTTTATCAAACATCTCAAGAGTGTATGATCCTCTGGGATACCTTTGCCCACTTTCTGTCCAAGTCAAGATTCTATTCAAAGGACATGGTCTGAAGAAGCAGCTGATTCGGATACATGCTTGACTGAAAATATAACCCACGAGTGTATAAAGCTAAAGAGCGATTTTCAAAACATAGACCAGATCAAGATCACTAGATACTTAGGCGACAAGAATCATTAAGTGTCCGAAAAGACTTATGCTAGTGCTATTTACGCAGTTACAAAAAATCATAAGGGCGAGTTCACATCGACGCTTGTGATCGCTAAAATAAAGTTGGCACCTTTGAAGAACAAGCTCACGTTGCCTAACCTTGAGCTTTGTGGCGCACTACTGCTATCACAACTCATGAAGAAGGTCGTAGACATAATGCTAAAAAACTTGCAGATATACACATAGACTGATTCAATGGTAGTTCTTGGTCGATTAAATGGCTACGTTAATAGATGGAAACAGTTTGTTTCCAACAGAGGACGTACAATACTCAACGTCATCCCATCATCATCTTGGCACCATGTTCGATCTGAAGATAACTCTGCGGATTACGCTACAAGAAGGACTGTTGTCACACAAACTTTCAGAACATTTATTGTGGTGGCAGGGTCCGCAGTGGCTGTTGATATTTGATCCAAAGATGATCAAAAATGAAACATACCAACCACCGGAATTAAGGGCTAAGAAGACCAGTGTGAACGCAGCCTTATCTTACAAAAACGATTTAACTTTACAATTTTTAAATTAATGCAGCTCGACACGGTGCATAACAACTATAATCGGCTGGCAATCACGTTTCACACAATAGTTGCGAAACAAACAATTACCTCGGCGAAGTTACCTATCGTCATCGGAAAGACAACATGCTATAAATTTAGTTATCAAAACAGGACAATCGATAGAGTTTGAGCAGGAAATTCAGCAATTGTAAAAACAAGAGAAATTTAAAAGATCCGATAATCTGCTGAGCCTCAATCGTTGGCCAAAGCGATGGACTGCTAAAAGTTAAACAATTCCTTACTCAACAAGTCAGCCACACAACCTACAATACTACCAAGTCATGGCAAACTAACTGAACTGCTTATACAGCACGCCCACTCCACCACGCTACGTCAACAACAATGGCCCAAGCTGAATTTTATCTTAAATACGGGAAAATTACTGGATTCTTAATGTGCTTCGCACAGTAAAAAGACAACTTCGCAAGTGTGTAACATGTCGACGTTTCAAATAAGAGAAACGAACTCATAGATCCACCAGAGCCTCGGGTCACTCCATAGCACGTTTTCTCACACTGTGGCATCGACTTCACAGGAGATTTCGACATCAAAGCAAACAAGGGTCGTGGAGGACAACATACATGGGCTAAGTCGCAGTTCTTTGGCTGTTCGATTTTAGACCTGGTGTACGATTATCTACTGAAGACGCTGTAATTGAACTTTCACGGACTATAAATGCTAAGTTAGATAACAAAATGCCATGGCATTTTTATTGACCTCTCTAGAACGGTCGATACAGTTTCTATGAGACATAAACACTGGTAGTTCGTATAGTCCCAGCTCGTGAGTAAATTCACCATTATCTCGCCAAATCGTTTCAAATTGCGTTCCACATCCCGATAAACGTTTATGTGACAACGCTACGACTGCGGCGGTGTTCATATTAAAGTCACTTTATGAATTTCTAGTATAAGGGTTTGTAGCACGTTAATATTTTAAGGGTTTATAATTACATGTATATTATTGTGTGTTTGACATTTGTTGTTTTTGAAGCGATTTTGTAATAAATGAATTGGTACGTGGTAGAGCCAAGGACCACGCTCTCACAGAATTCCAGCGTAAAATAACAGCTCAACGCTGCTGTGTTTCGTATGGTGGGTGTAGAGAACTGGAGTCCCTTTTTACAGGAACAAGGCACTTAATTATTTGTCAAGGGTAACAACGCATTTGCATTTCGATTCTTAATCGAGGATAGATCTATGGGTCAGTATCTATGGGTCACAGCATCCATTTACCATCAGGTGCACTGTGTGCTAATTTTGCATGTATTTTTTTCAAAGAATAATCTTTTAAAAAAACACGTTGATAATCTTACCTTTATTTTCAACGAACTATTGACATTAAAAAGAAATAACTACCCGTCTAAGCGATCGTAAGATAATTAATTAATTGCTACATATTATGTTGGGTCGTTAACATCCGTCTTTCTCCGTATAATATCGCCGCGGCTGCACGAGCGAGCACTTAATAGCGGGTGCTATTAAGTGCTCGATTTTCCTGGTCCCATGGCCTCCGCGTATCGGACTCGGGGGGATCCGATACGCAGGTGGAATTGGAGGCCGTGGAGGGGGGCGTACCTTGTGTTCCTGGTG